AATACTCCATCGTTGAACCATGGCTGCAGATGACTTAACCAGGGAATATTGAGGGTTGTAAATGAACTGCAGAGCTTCATGATCACTCACAATGGTGAAATGAGCACCATAAAGATATTTGTGCATGCGCATGACAGCCCAATAGACAGCTAGAGCTTCTCGTTGAGTTTGGGAATACCCACGTTCGGCAGCCGAGAGGCTGCGTGAGGTGCACAGCACCGGATGACCATTCTGCTCCAACACAGCTCCAATTCCAACGGGCGATGCGTCCGAGATGACGGTAGAATGTAATCTTGGGGAGAAAGGACGTATAACAGCAATGGTAGATAAAAAGGAAAGTAAATTCCTTAAGACACGTTCATGGACCGAAGACCACCGAAATGTTTGCTGTGACTGTAAATCAAACAATGGAGCAGCTTGCGTTGAAAAGTTAGGAATAAACTTCGAATAGTATTGTAAAGAACCAATTAAAGAACGAAGTTCATGGAATGACTTGGGAGATGGAGCATTAGTCAACGAAGAAAACCGATTAGGGTCAGGACGGAATTCAGATTCATCAACCAAATAACCTAAACAAGAAAGTTTAGTCGTAGCAAAGGCATATTTATCAAGGTTAATAGAAACATTATGAGAACGGAATCTCTCAAGCAAAGCACTCAAACGTTCGTCATGTAAGTGTCTACTAGGCGCATGGACAATAATACCGTCATGATAGGCACATACACCTTGTAAGCCAGAAATGATGGAATTATTAATAATTTGAAAAATTGCGGAGGAAAACACTGAGTCCAAAAGGTAGAAAATTGTAGCAAGATAACCCAAAAGGTGTGTTAATAACCGTGAGTTCGCGAGACTTTTCATCAAGAAAAATTTGAAGAAATGTATATTTTAAGTCCAGAGTAGAGAAAAATTTGGATCCATGAAGTTGGTGCAGAATGTCTTCTGGTTCGACGGTGGCACAACTGGACTGTTTCAGGTGTCTGTTCACAGTAACTCGATAATCCCCACATATCCTAGGAGTCATCCCGTCACATTTTAGTGGAGTAACAATTGGCATGGCCCAAGATGAAGAATTTACGGGTGTCAGAACTCCCTTGCTTACCATTTCATCTAACGCCTTTTTTACGGGCTCACGAAGTCCAAGTGGGATTATCCGACGTTTCATGAACACCGGATAACCGGTCACTTCGAGACTCGCAGGAAACATTTTGATACCACCCTTTACCTTGGAATATTCAAGTATTAAGTGACGAAAGCGTGATTGATGGGAGTCAGACATGAATGAAAATGACAGATGCATAAGATTCATACAATCCAAACCAATTATAGAAATGTCGGAATCAATAACCGGGCAGTGAAATGTTTGTGATTTATCGTCTTTAAGAAGCAGTTCGCATGATCCTAAGACGGGCAAAAAATGACCGGTAATTCCCTTAACTTAAATGTCTGTTGGGAAAAGTGCAACTGGGGAGTTTAACTGACGAAAAACCTTGTTGGAAATGAAAGAGTCGACACTGCCGGTGTCCATAATTAATGTATGGTGAATGGAGTCATTAATGATGAAGTCACGAGTACTATGACAAGAGGGACGTGAACTGGTACTGGCTAGAGTTAAGGACTGTAAATCACGCAATAAATCTTTAGAGGAATGGACGTCGTACGTTTGGTAAGACGCGACTTCGCACTTTTGCAGACAGATTGGATATGGCCAAGCTTACCGCAATTGTAACACTTGGCATTTCGAAATTTACAGGATAGCCGCGAATGTCTTTGACCACAGGAATTGCACTTGTTCCATCTTTGAATCCATTGGTCATTGTGGGCCGGAGAACTGATGTTGCTTGGTGTTTTCGAGCCCTTTTTGAAAAACCGCTTTCGTCGGGATGGTGACTGTTTGGAATTGCTGACATTGAAAAACAAGTTGGATTCATCACAAATAATGTCACGAACGTCTTGGTACTGTTCACAGACTTTCGTAGCCGACCGAAATGTGCAATCGTGAATGAGCAGAAGCTTTTGCTGTAATTCCGAGCAATTAATACCTGCAATTAATCGATCACGTAACTGGGTTTGCAATTGATCTCCGAATTTGCAACGAGATGCTTGAGTCTTAAGTTGAAGTATAAAGTCACGTACATGTTGGCTTCCACCACATGTGAGTGAATGAAATTTGGCTCGTTCAGCAGCTTCGAAATTATCCGGCTGTAGATGCTTCAGAAACAAGGTTTCCAGGGATTCATACGAAAACGATATAGGAGAGTCAGGAGATTCCAAATTCTTCAACAATGAGTATGCATCTTTTCCGATGACCGTTAGGAAATAAGCCCTTTTTGCGTTCTCCATCGAGTCCTTTCCGCGTAATACACCAAATCTCGAATTGTTCAAGATAGTCTTCGACTTCGCGCGCACTGGCATCCATATTCAAATTCCCTAAATTACAGGACTCCATTGGTTCAAAATGACCGCGACGCCAATTGTTGTGGTTTGTACTCGGACTAGTATTTCGTATACGTATTGGATTCCGTGCAGTAATAGTCTAACCCAGAACTAGGACTCGAAATGAAATCAGAAGACAGAACTCAGCGGCGGAATGGAACTGTAATAAGCGGAAATTCGAGATTGTACAAGGATATCGTGTTCAATAAAACAAAAGAGTTCGCAGCTCATGAGCAATTACCACAAACGTTTCGACCCTCTCGGAAGGCCTTTCTCAAATAGTTTAGTCGGTTAATCTCGCGTTACAAGCAATGATAAGGTGAG